TAGACTTTCTTAGTGAAGATGGTGTAGAGAAAGGAATGGAGAATATTCGGCAGTCGATGGTAAAATCATCATCAGATGTTGTCGCACACAAAGGAGCCGTTTTACTAGTAAACACAGATTCGCCAGTAGACAAAATTGAAAGTAAGTGCGATTAAAAAAAGAGTTGGAAGTTTTGTTTACTATGCTAAATCAGTTCTTTTCAGTTGACAACACGATTAAAGTCTGTTTCATGCAAACCGGTGAAATTATTAATATTCCTATTTCCTTGGTGGACACGGTAGAAGATGTGATCAAATATATCTGCGAAAAAAGCGCATGTGGCGTTGCAAATGATTACAACGATTATCATCTTACTGTCGTTTTGGTTAATGGTGAAAAAAATCTAGATAATGAGAACAAATTAGCAGAGATCGGTGTTTTTACTGATGAAAATCTCGGATTTAAATTATATTCAAACACTCCAACCAAAGAACAGCTAATTACTATTGCAATGGTAGAAGCAACTGGGAGTGCTAATGATACTTCCGATGTTCCAACACATCTTCAAAGTAAATTTCAATTTCTGTTATTGCGTAATTATCCCAAAACTACTTTCTAGCCCTTGATTCAGACGAACCGACACTCAACAATGGTAAAACAAAAGTTTCCAATACATCAGAAGTCAGCTCAACATCTAAAAGCTTGAAACCATTCAGTCCTGCTCCATTAGAAAAAGAGCAATTAGCTAACATATATCATCAAATACAAAACAGATTTCACGAAGTTACCGCAGAGATGACTCGTGACCCAATGTTACGTCACAATATCACAGAAACGTTGAACGAAATAAATCTTGTCGTCTGCGGCGCACCCCGAGTCGGAAAAAGTGCTCTCATCAATGCCATATGCCAACAAGAAGGAGCTAAAACACATCCTGGATTGCATTCCTGCACAAACATGATTTCGCCTTACTATTTGAAAGGTAGTTGGGAAGTTGGCGGCGACAAAGTTAATTACCAATACAACATTTGGGACACGCCCGGATTCGAAAAATGGGATCAGGAAACTATCATTGCTAATTTAGATCACATTCAACAAAAACCGAAATCTGACACATTATGTATGATCTACTGTGCATCACCCGGTTCGTTTGCCAATCTTGAACAACTCAAATGGTTATTAGATGCATGCATCAAACGGCACATTTTCTGCGCACTTGTATGTACAGATAAATGGAATGGACGGAAAACACGACGGGATGCCGTCATGGAAGATTTCACACAGATCTTGACGCGTGTTCACGAGAAAACTCGAGAAGAGGATGGCGTGATTTATTTCGGAAATGTAGGTTTGTGTACAAGTGTCAACAGTGTGGCTTTTATCGATGAAGAAACGGGTAAAGAATATGAACAATCGGGTATTAATGAACTTATACTTGGAATAATGGAATCAATTGACAAAGACAAAGCCGCTAAATGGTGCGCGATTGTATTAGAAAATAAACCATTTTGGCAAAAAATCATGACTTGTTCCAAGCAATTGAAAAGATTCTTTACATTCCCATTCGCGTGACAAAAAAACAAATAAAGACGATTGTAAAATGTTTGATGTCGATTTTACCTTTGTGAGAAAGGTAAAAATCATCAATACATGAAACAATAGCGAAGTCTTTGTTTTCTTTCATTGTTTTGATTACTTTTTTGACTAAATTCTTCTGCCAGACGTCGCTTCTTTCAGCTTCTAGAATCATTCAAAGACGCCCGCATGCTTTTTTGACTATTTCAGAAGACGCAAATTGATCTCATGAGTAAAAATCATTTTCGAATGGCAACATTTTCCTATATATTAAATCTATTCAAGGGCATAAATTCATATTCAGATCAATTCAAGCCTGTGACAGCGGTATTTTGTAAATTCATTTAATGAAAATATTAAAATTTTACTGTTAAAAGAATTTATTGAGATTCGACGTTTCAATTCATTAAAGAATCATTTTCAAGAAAAATACAAGCTTATATGAGATGCGATGCATTCAAACTGTACATCTGACGAAGGGAGCAAGGAATGTAGGGAATAAGTGAAAGTATGAAAGAAGACCAAAGTCGAAGAAATTGCCATTGTTTATATCTTCTTGATATCATGTTTAAATCTGTATCTTGTGTTGGAATGTACGAATAAAAAAAGTAAAAGGAAAGAAAAGAAAGATTTTCCTTTGTAGATAAACTCATATATCCACGTGTTATTCTTTTATTTAAATTTTGGTAAGTATTTCGTATCAATACCATTTGGATATATGTGAAGAGGGACTAAGTGTGTTGTTTTGTTTAGTTCAGGTTGATATGACTTGATTATTAACGATTCTTTTATGAGTAACTTTCTTGGTGTGTTATCAGTCCATATGATTCTCGTATTTTCCCAATTTATTGTGTGCATGGTTTCTTTTAAATGATCATAAATCGAGCTTTTCTTATCTGCTTTGTTGTAGATGTTATCATTATTTTAATGCTTCATTCTTTGTGTTATCATCATATTACCACCCAACAGATCCATTGGTTTCCCTCTTATGTTTATGTCATTCAGCGTGAAGTGGTTAATCATGTCAGACTGTTCAATTCTTTTGTGGACACTGATTTGATCGTTATTAACCGGTTCATTTCCAGAATTACCTATTCGTTTGCCAATCTTCCGCAGATTATATCTATGTGTTTTGTTTCTTATCTCATTATCTTCATTTATCATTTTATTTATTGGATTATCCGTTACCATTTGATTACTAACAGTCGATGTCGTTGCACAAGAAGCTTTTGGTGCGGCATTCATTGCTGTTTGATTATCTACCACTAATGAATCTTCAAAACTTTCTGATGTTACTGAACCATAATGATTCATCGGAGTGTTAAATACTGGCTGACTCTTAACTTTTGTTAGACTGGTCCTTGATGTTTGATTATTATCTTGAGGGTGTGGGTGAGAGTGCACTGAAAAAAAATAAGGTACTCTACCAAACCCATCAAAAAGGTTTCGTAAGTGTCGAAAGCTTGCAAATGTGTCGACATGTTCAAAAAAATGCTTTTCAAAAATCTACGAAACCAAAAATGGATCGGTCGGCGGGCACACGTTCCGAACCCTCATCACGCAACCTTTTCAGGTTTCGTCACAAAATACGAAACCTTCTTAGATTCGTATAAAACCATAGTGCGAAACCTTACGGTTCCGTATTTTCTGACGAACCTTTATTGGATGCGTGCGAAACTTAAAAAGGTTCCGGGATGAGGGTTCGGAGCGTGTGCCCGCCGACCGATCTTTTTTTTGGTTTCGTAGATTTTGAAAAGCATTTTTTTGAACACGCCGACACTTTTGCAAGCTTTCGACACTTACGAAACCTTTTTGATGGGTTTGTTAGAGTACCTTTTTTTTCACTGTGAGGGTGTGGGTGAGGGTGAGGGTGTGGGTGAGGGCTGAGGGTGCGGGTGAGGGTGGGGACTTGATACAGGAATTCCACTCATATTGCTCAGCTTTCCGGGATATACTTCCTTTCGGGTATTGTGTTGGATACACCGACTCAGCTGCAGATAGTAACATAGTGAATTGTCTATTTTTGGATGAATACCGGGTGTAACGGGATTATGACATCACTCCGCAGTATCCTGCATCAGTCTCATTCAATTCATGAAATGCTTTCGATTTCTCCTCTGACGAGCTACGTGAGCATGTCTGATGTCGAATTCAGTCTCGGATGGTATTGGCAAACATTTCGTGGACGACGTTTCATTGGACATGACGGTTCCTTGCCTGGCGTGCGAACGTCAATGATGGCTAACGAAAAACGAAATTTAGGAGTGATCATTTTAACAAATGGAGATATTATTCAAAATGATCACCATGCTGAGAAAGTCAAAGCTACAATCGTTGATTTGATGATGGATTTAGACGACTGTTATGAGCCAAAGACAAGTATTGCTTATCATCCACACGTGAGTGTCATTTACATCTGGTGGACACTCATCATCCTTTGCTTTCTCAAATAAATTCTGTCCATTTGGCGATCAGGCTGACTATTTGAAAATATAAAATACCATTTCCCTTGTATCGATGCAAAGAATGCGAATGAATCATCTTGGGAATTTTTTTCTCGATGCTTGGCAAGTAATAGTACACATAATGTTGACGCAAACTGTCAATGATTTCTCGACAGGCTGCTTTTAACTATAATAGAACGAGAAAAAAACTTTTAACCAATTACTATATCGAACTTTCTGATTCTGTTCGTCTAATAAATACAATCAGACGAAAAGCATTTTTTCATACACATCAACATAAAACCACTCTCATACAAGAAGCATTTACATCAAAAGAAATTTGTCGAAACACAAATTTATATCATTGCGAAACATTAGCAGCGTTCAATGGCTGAAATTCGTCTGACTGCGGAAGAGATCAGTGACATTCCTGAGAGTGACGATGAAATAAATTCTATTAAAAATGAAATAGCGATCATCCTACGACTGCATGATTATGACAATAAACAACAGATTGTTACTCACCTTCTCATCAACGGTCGACAAGGTCTACTCGATTACAAGGACGACATCGTACCCAACATATTCGATACACAATTCAATACTCCCGACGCACAACTCATTCTAGCTCTCAAAAACTATGTACGTCGTCTGTGGCAAACTCAGTACGAGCCATCCTACCACTGGCTCATCGCATTCATCCAAAACTACCACGACCACAAAAGCGCTCAACTCTACGACCGCATTCTCACTCGAACAGCTCAATATGGCAAAAGATTCATGAAGGACTGTCCGATGTTATCGATCGTGTTGCAGTTCGTGTTGGAATCGATGGACGAGGAATGCTTAGTGAACACGAACACGTTCGATGATGTGTGGCACACAGTGACGAGCGAAGGAATGAAGTCACTGGCAAAGTATTTGAAGTATGTGAAAGAGGAAGTGATGAGTGAAGAGTTGGACAAGAATCAGTCGACATTGTTTCATGTATTACGTGAATACCATCGTCCACGGTTAGGTTCACTGTTGAGAAATCATGGAATGAATGTTGAAGAAGTAGATGAGAATATGGCATTAGACTTTCTTAGTGAAGATGGTGTAGAGAAAGGAATGGAGAATATTCGGCAGTCGATGGTAAAATCATCATCAGATGTTGTCGCACACAAAGGAGCCGTTTTACTAGTAAACACAGATTCAACAGCAGAAAATTTATGGCAACCTGAGAGTGAGTGTGTTAACATTGATAGTCTAGAGAAAACTAGTACTTTTTTTAGTTCGAACAATAACGGTAGCGACGACAATCAAAGTTTACGTTAAGAGGACCGGTGAACTTTTTGATGTTCCCATGTCTGCGGTATCCACAGTGGAAGATGTGATCAAATATGTCTGCGAAAAAAGTGTCTGCCATGGCACGATGGATTACAATAATTACTACCTTGTTTCATCGGAAGACCATGCAATGCTGCACAATGAGCAAAAAGTCGATGAAATAGTTGTTCATTCGAGAGACACTCTTCAATGGAAATTATGTATGAAAACATCAAAAAGACAACAAATAATCAGTCTTGCATTGATGAAATCCAATCAACGCGTTAAGGCCAACACAGTTGCCGATTCGAAGGACAAAGAAGTAAAATTTATCCATATTATTCGAGGATTTTGATATAATGTGTTTATACAGATTACCGAGACAGTTGAACCACAACAAAACAGATTGAATATGGATACTGATAAGACAGAAGAAGCTGTTGCAACCAATGTGTCAGTGAAATCAGACATGTTTCGGTCAAATTCGCCTTCCGAAAATACAACAGACAAACCGTCGAATATCTCCAGATCTGTATCTTTCAAAAGTTCAAGTACCAGCCTGTCGCAAAAACAAGATTTAGCTTATAGTTACTATGAATTACAAAAAAGAATCCACGATATTGCTGAAAGATTGATTCACGATCCAACTTTACGTGAGAAAGCTTCAGAAATGTTAGATGACATCAATATTGTTGTATGTGGTGCACCCCGCGTTGGAAAGAGTGCTCTCATCAATGCCATATGTCACCAGGAACTAGCTGGAACCCATCCCGGTCTCCATGCTTGTACAAAGACCATGTCATCCTACTATTTAGCTGGCAGTATAGATATTGGTGACGAACAAGCTAACTATCAATATACCTTTTGGGATACACCCGGATTCGAAAGTTGGGATCGAGAAGCCATCCGTAAGTATCTGAAAACAATCAAAACAACACCCAAATCTAGTATTATTTGCATGATCTACTGTGCTTCGCCTGGTTCTTTCGCCAATGCTGAACGACTCGGATGGTTATTGGATGAGTGCATCAAACTGCACATTTTCTGTGCACTCGTATGTACAAATAAGTGGTATCCGGACAGAAAGCGTCGCGATGCTGTCATAGATGATTTTCAACATATACTTCAACGACATCAGACAAAAACGCGAGACGAAAATGGAATAGCCTATTTTGGAAATGTAGGTCTATGCACAAGTGTCGATAGCGTTGCTTTTACCGACGAACAATCGGGTAAGAAATACGAAGAATCGGGTATTGATGAACTTATACTTGGGATAATGGAATCATTGGATGATGACAAATTAGCGCAGTGGTGCGCGGTCATATTTGAGAATAAATCATTTTGGAAGAAACTTTCAGGATATTCAGAACAACTGCAAAGGATCATGAATAAACTGATTCATACGCAATGGAACGAAAATTGAAACGTTTATTAATAGCATTTCTTTTATTCAAGATAAATGATTGTTTCTTGTCCTTTTCTCACCTTTTCCAAATAACAAAAAAAAAACGAATTTTTTCTTTCTTCCTCTCTTTCTTATCGCTCTGTAAATGTGTAGCATCGATAAGGACGACAGGAAAAAATCACTTCTACTCGGTAAAGTTTGTTTTTTTCATTTTCAGTGAATAAATAACATGTCAAAACCATCTCTTTTCATCTATGTAACAGGCTCTGGTCGAGCCAAAGATATACCCGAGCTTGTTCGAGAAACTGTCGCTGCTGGATGGGATACATATACAGTTTTGACAACTAATGTCAGTTCTGTCTTACCTCCCAATGAAATTCATGATGTACCTGGTAGTCGTGCTATTCACGGATACGATGATTCGGTATTGAAAAAGTTTCCATTTGGCACAATGCTGGTGGCTCCTTGTACATTTAATACGTTTAATAAATTAGCGTCGGGCTTAGCCGATGGTCTTGCAACGGCAATGATCGCGGATGCATTGGGTGCTGGTTGCCCGATATTTATTGCACCGGCAATGAATCAGAACTTGTGGAAGCATCCTCAAACTCGAATTTCGGAAGCGAAGTTGAAAGAATGGGGATGCACTGTCATTCCACCGTATATTGATGAAGAAGTCGTTACTATGGCACCAGTCAAAGATATCTTACAAGTTCTACATCATCATTTTCAATAGAACACGCGTGCTGTTTTAACAACTATTGCAGTTTACTCTTTTCTCTGTTTTATTAATAAAAGAGATTTACAAAATGCACAGAATAACATGTCATCTACTTAGACTCACCCTCATTCATTTCTAGTTGTCTCGGTTTTCTATTGGAAAGCTGATATTGCACCATAAACTTGTTAATCACTTCATATATACACATGAGAATGAGGTCAATTAGATATTCACATAGACATGCAGTTCTTCAACATACTATGATCAATTTATCTATGTTGAAATCGAGACAACGAAAAAAAAACAGATACAAACTATTATGGAACGACCTGCAGTTAACGAAAATAAATCATTCAACAGTTCAGTGTAACCAATCGACGAACCCGTTTCACTTCTGGTGAATAAATAACGAATATAGATATCACATATTACAAAGGACATTTCTGCCATGACTTTTATTTTTTTTATCTATGTGTTCATAAAGTAAATTACAAAGCCAAATAATCAGACTTATGATTTCTTTTTTTCTATTGCACTTCACAAATTTCTCATCAACATCTCATTTCCTTTCAAATTTCATTTCACATATCAGCTCTTCATGTAAACTCATCTAAAACATTACACAAAATTATTCTCTCTCGATGATATATATATATATACACTTCCTGAACAGAAAAACAAGTTTATTCCCTGTCGCTTCATATACATTATTCTCATCAGTTCCTCATGACTTTACTAATCTGGCTAAAATCAATCATCAAACGGGCATTCGATAATCTGCTCGCGTGGAATGCTTTCAACTCTCGATCATCAGATCCAACGATCATTCGTCGTGAACTCTTCACTACTCGCCTATATCTCATTCTCCTCATTGTTTCTCTTGTTGTTTTAACAACATACACATCGTTCACTGTGCGATTCAATACTCAATCTCTTCTCAATCCAACTTATTCTCAATATCAACAACTTCACAATGACTATGCCGATACTCTACAGTGTTCATGTTCGAAAATTTCCGTTCCTTATGGACAATTCGTAACAACAATGGCAATATTTCATCAAGTGTGTTCAAGTGATTTCGTATCACAACAATGGATTGATTTCACATTTCTATCGAATCTCCAATCACTTTCGCTCATCGATGTTCGAACACATCTAAATGTCATGTGGCAATTCATTCGATCCTTTTGTCAAAATGCCAATCGAACAACCATCGATATTCTCGATCAACTTCACAAAACTTCATTGATTACTCCCATTTTATTAGATGAACATCTTCTCAAAGCAAAGATTCAAAGTACTCTCTCATCACTTCTTCAGATCGAATCAGTTCATCTTATTCAAGCCATCGAAATTGCTGAGAGAACTGTTCATGCTAATCAACTACTAACTGCACTTGGAAACAATTATGTCGTTAGCACAAACTATACTAAAGAAGCAATTTATCATAAATCGATGCCAAGTTATTTCTTTGTTGATATATCTAAAACTCAATTCATACTAAATAGTTCACAAAAGGCCTGCGTTTGTGAAACTGATTGTTCATGTCTTCTTCCTGGTCACATTTATTTATACAATATCACATCGTCATCTAATTTTTATGATATCCATCAAATTCCATCAAACATTACTCTGCCTGGTCTATTCATTGATTGTCTTCCACTTCAAACGACATTTGCATCATCATTCGAATGTTTTTATCAACAATCATGTCTTGATTTACTTCTCTCAACTTATCAACACAAAATCAACATTTCAATTCTAAATTCATCTCAACCCACTCGTTTTCATCCAACAACAACAACGATCGAATCAATCTTCAATGAACTATTTCTTGAACAAATAAATAATCAAACGAATTATGAAAAGTATTATCTCTCATGTTCACCTAACACATGTTTCTATCCATTCAATCATCGATTTGACTGGATTTATGTTTTAACTACTTTCTTTGGTCTTTTGGGTGGAATATCAGTTGCTTTACGAATCTTTACTTCTTATTTCATTCGTTTAGCTTTATCTTTATACAAATTTTGTTTTTCAACAGACCGATCAATAAGACAAACATCAAGTAAGAAAACTAAATCAAGAAGAACACAATTTATCTTCATTGAATCATTTTAGATGAGACTTTTCTCAATCGAATTAAACGAATTCTACAACAGATAAAAGAGAAACTGATCAATTTAAATATCTACACAAAATATTCTCAAGATCAAACACGTGTCTATCATGGTCGGTTATCAACTCGATTATATTTTCTTTTATTACTCATTTCAATCATTATCATTATCATTTATTCATCTGTATTAGTTGAAATTGTTACTGAACAAATGATTAATCCATCATTAGAACAATATCATCAATTACAACAACAATATCCTTTGACATTAAGATGTCCTTGTACTCAATTGGCTATTTCATATAAAGATTTTGTCACAATAGAAGCGAAATATCATCAGATGTGTTTAAGTGAATTTGTTCAATCATGGTGGTATCAAAGTTTATTACTTCCATACAATACACAAGCAAGACTTAGTTTTGTCACGTTAGCATCATCATATTTTCAAACCTTGGCAACATTCTGTGAATTAGCTAATAAAACTATAAACAATGGAACTGAACAATTTCTCTCCACTACATTTGTCAATGGTTATGTTTTATCCAATGATTCATTTTATGTACAAATGACTTCACTAATCAGTTCATTTATTGACAAAATCGGATATGAATTTGTCTATCGAATCTCGTTAACACAACTATTACTTCACAGTAATCAATATGTGAGTCATCTGCCATTCAGTACTTATCTCAGTAAAATCTTCTCTTATTCATACAATGAACTAAGAGATATAAAGATAAGTGTTGATCCTATTTATGCTATCAACGATAACAGCAACAAAAGATGTTATTGTGTACTTGATTCCAATTGTACTTTGGAAGATAAAGTGATTCAAGGTGCTAATCTAATATCCGTATCTTGGAAAATTGGAGGTATCTATGGAGGTTGTTCGATGGTAGACACGACATTCAAATCATCATTTGCATCTTGGTTCGATGATAATTTTATAAATATATTGAAAAGAGAATTTCTCCTTAGCAATATCAACATACCTCGTTTTCCAACAAAACTTCATCCGACGCTTCCGAGTCGATATTCTCCAACGACACCAACCGAATCTATTTTCAACAATCTTATGATTGAAGATTGGAATGTCACTTATTCTTATGAAAACTATTATTCTCAATGTCGTCCTTCATCCTGTTCGTTCATTTATGAGAAGAAAACTGATTCTGCATATCTTGTGACTGTCATTCTCAGTTTAATTGGTGGTATCAACCTTATTCTTCGATTGGTCTCTCCACTCATCATCAAAATCAATCTGAAATTGATCAAAAGTCTTAACCATTGTGCATCTCTCACTGTTGAACAACAACAAAATCATCGTTAGTTATTTTCGATAGGACAGAGAAAAAAAGAATATTTTTACGAGTATGTTTAGATAAATCCCAACTGTTCACGACAATCATCAATCAACTATTGATTTTCAACATGTTTGATAGCGAATCAAATGATAGCAGAATTATTCATCGTGAACGACTGACGACAAAGTTATATTTGTTGATTTTATGTCTTTCATTGTATTCCATAATCATCTATGCAATGATTACTAATGGAAAAATCAACATAACTGTGTTCAATCCAATTGAAAGTGATTATAGTAAATTATTGATGTTACATTCGGAATCGCTTCAATGTCCTTGTAACAACATCTCAATGAAATACAAAGAATTTCTTTTCGTTGATACATTATTTCATGAAGTCTGTTCAAGTGATTTTGTACAAACGAAATGGCGTGATTATTTGTTTCTCACCGGTGATTGGTTCAGTTATTATCGAGCAGATATTCGTTCACGTGGAAGTATTTATTTCTCATTTCTTTCAACATTGTGTCAACTATCAAAGACAACAGTGAATAATGGTATTGTTCAATTTCTCGATGAAATATTCATCAATATTCAAATCATTTCAAGATCGGAATTTTATCTTCGAATCGATAGTTTTGTCTCTCAATCTCAACAAAGGATCACAACACAATTCTCACGTAGTTTCAACTCATTAAGAGATGTGTTGAATAACAATGCTTTGATCTCATCCTACTATCTAAATTCGAATTGGTCGATAGATCTCAATACAACATACACTACTATTCCAACACATACAGTTATCACCAAAAATGGATGTTCATGTGGAACACGATACGACTGTATTGAATCAGGTGGAATATACTATGATAATACTGATTCTCAGAAGTTTGCAATACCTGGATGGAATGTTGGCTGTTCGGTTGTGGAAACTGTCTTGCGATCAACGATGGAATGCTTTTATAATCAATCATGTATAGATTCATTACTATTTTACGCAACAACCGTTCCAAACCGACTGTCCTATCGAATGAACATGACATCTATGAATTCTTCAGCAAAGAGTCGTTTTCGAAGAGATACATTTATTCAAGACTTAGCAGATGAGTTGTTTGTTGAAACATGGCAAACTTACAGATCTTATTCATTGTTTTACAAAGCTTGTGCTCCGATCTCTTGTTCATACACAGTTCAGAAAACTGATTATTATATGTACAGCGCATCGAAAGTACTTGGTTTGTATGGTGGATTATCTATTCTATTACGATTCGTTGTACCACTGGTAGTGAAGATTTTCTTTTGCATTCGAACTAGTTGTCAAACAACTGAAGTTGTACCATTCAATTAGTTTACCACGTATAACATGCGGTTCGCGAAAATGAGCTTTTGTTTCAGGATTTAGAGTCAAAGACTTTCTTAAAACTGATTTTCTTTCCTTTTGTTTTCTTAATGTGTTGTGTACAATCGATTTCTGATGTAATTTCTCACTGCTTTTTTCTTTCTCAGCGCCAGGCTTTATGAAACATACCGTCATTAATAAACAACCGAACCTTATTTGATTATACAAATGTTTTCTGTATGAATAGGATAAATTTGGCAGACTTCAATACATCTTATTGCGGAAAAGCCAAAGAAGCGTGCGCTAATATCTATTTCTTAACAACTATACTGTGCACGACAACATACACAAAAGAGTCTTTATTCTTGAAGAATTTCAGTTCTTTGGCGGCCGCTCTTTTGCTATTTTCTCAAGAACACCATTGAATTGGATGTGATTCTATGCAATGGCCGGAGAAAAGGTAAACGTTCGATATGGACATCATAAACAATAGTTTATAGATGGATAATGTAACTTTGAATAAGGTTATGATCGAGTAATAAAACCTTCAACATGAATAAAATACATAACATCTCGAACTATACTGTAAAAGTACAATAGTTTACCTGATTGCTTCCTTGAAATATTATATTCAAGTTTGAAGACATCCAGGAAACTTCCTATCGAACGTAGATCTCGTGTAGTCATATATGTGTTTTATGCGCTTTGAAGTAACTGAAAATATTTATCATAATGACACGCATTGCGAGCAAATTTTTATTTCATCATAGTATAGTTACATAAAATGACATTTTATTTCGGTTGCTTTGATGAGTTGTTTTTATTTTTCCCGATCGTTCTTGAACCCAAATAAAAAACAACTGTTTTCCCTGTACAATTCATACGTTCTTCAAACATATCAGCGAAAACATATTCTTACAACCACATTACTCAATATTCTGAATCGATCAAAAAAGCGTCGCTTTTTCCTGCTTTTTCATGTACACAAACGTGCAATTATACATGTCACCAATTTCTGACTCTTCAACCGACAAACCACCGCAACGCATGAAAACAACTACTCTGTAATAATATATATGCATATAGAGACGTGTGACATGCTGGTCAGAATTCCGTGCAGAGAAAAATGGCTGGAAGGAATGTCAATGCTACTATAAGGAATACCGAATATCCGATTAATGATTGTGATGGAGCTAATCGCCTTGGATTTGGAGGTGTTGGAAGAAGTCGAGTTCCCCGGGTGCTCCGACCGCCTGCATATGGAAGTCGTCCAGGTCTCAATCAGGGACAACCGCTTACCATCTATGTTCCGTGGACGCCACAATTCGCGATGGCTTATCAACAATTTGTCAACGGTGGTGCAGCAGCTATGAATCAAGCGCCAATGGGTGCCGCGCGTATGGGTGGCTATGGAAGACCGATGCGAAGCGCTTCAAGTCGACCTGGTATGAGAATACGTTAAGTGTTCGGCAATCAATTATATACATCAGAGGATTGTTATATATATTTCTTAAAGAAGCTAAGGTATCCGTGAGCATAGTCCGTGCGTTTCCTTCTTTCGTGTATTAGTATGGAAGCGAGAAAAAGGATGTGAGTATTCTTTTTCTCAAGACTTGTTTATACTAAGATTATTTTGATTTACAATTATTTATCTCTAAATAAAATGCGCAGTTATTGAATGGAGAATATAAAAACATATGTTCGTCAATATTACGATCGGTCCATACAAACTAAATGACGGCAAGTAATGTTACGTCAACCAATTCATTCTCAATTTGAAAACATGGCACTATTGCACAAAACAAAAAATGCTACGTCGCATGACGTGTTTCCTGTTGATCCATTAGTCAATCTGTTGAGGAGTTGCATTGAAGATTCATGCCACGATATGTACTAAAGCTGATATACCTCTCACAGGACGTCACATCTTTGACAATAGCTCTTGTCTTTAGCTTTAGACCGAGAACATAAAAGTGGGCAGTTCGTTACAATATCTACTCAAAATTGCAAAAGATAAGGTGAACGGCACCAACTGATGATAACCATTTTTCCAGTTCCAATTTATTAACAGTCGGATCGCTCAGAACGACATCCTCATATTCTTTCCGAATGAATTCTTCTTCTCCTGAAATATACAAGTCAACAGTCGTTACTGTTGATTTTCTCTGCACCTGTCATTGATGATTCAACGACTAGTCCATCGGCTGATATTTGATCATCTTTGAATGATTGATAGTTCTTTAACTTGTTCATTTTGAATGACCATTGTTCGACGACCAGAATCCATGGATAACCAAACATTTCTTTCAAATGTATGCCGATGTGCTTTAAAATCGCTCAAATCGTTTTCATTCGGTCTATTATCAATCTCGAAAAAATTTAGTTTCTTTAATATTCCATCTACTTCATTATAAACAGCTGAATCTGCATCTGCGGAATTCTTTGTCGTCATTTGATTGCTACGAACTATTGTGCTCTTATAGCAATGCAAATCATATGAAAAGAAAATAGAACCGAGTATTTTTCTTTGGTTTCGCAGAGATTATTTGTTGAAAGTATGAATATGGATTGCATACTTGCAAAACAGATCGATATTTACACGCTCAAATGATTCATTTTTCGAATTCTAGTGTTAAAATTGTACAACAAAATAGAATACACGAATCATATCGAGTATATATTCGATAGACGATCCTCAATTCGGAAGCTCACGTGTACTTTTATTGATAAAAAAGAAACAAGTTATTATGTAAAATGGAACTAATTTAGTTTTCCTCTTCAGAATAGGTATGCATTATTTTCGAACAGTAAGTTCTTGCATCAGCGTGGGATAGAACGGAGTTTGCGCTTAAAACTTTTTTCATATGAACATTTTGAGAAGAACCGTGGCCCATAAGCTCAATATGCATTTTCAAGAATTTCAAAATACCTGAAAAAAATTGATAGAAGTATGCAAAGACGATGTTTCGCGTCTATCGAGATTGCTATTCAAAAAAACATGCAACCATTGAGAATATCGAAAACTTCAGAAGAGCCATTGAAACGATGTCATCAATGGTACTGGAAAAAAATGAAATGAATTGAATAGTCTTGAAGGTATACATTCCGATTCACAGGGTAGCTTATATGTTGCAGATTTTAATAATAATTAAATCAAATTCTCATGTCGATAGACTTGAGTAAGAAAAAAGGGAAAATATAAACATCGTGTGTAATAACGCCCATTTTTTATTGATTTTTTTTCTTACATTTTCTGCTTTCGTATAGTGTTACAACTATTTTATTCAAAACAGCGAGCAGAACTCAGACAAATCGTTGCATATTCTTTAAAATATTTATTTGATTGGGTTCGACAACAACGGAGTTTTATACATCAAAGCCATAATAAAACACTTTTTCTACTCAAAATTACAATGTTAAAAAGAAAATAATATTTGATTATTCTTTTTTCGATGTACTCAACATCAGCACGTATATAAAAGAAATCACTCATACAATCGATCAACATAATAATGGTAAGTAAAATTTAACATTTTTCGAATGATCATTCAAAATAAATATCGTAGCCGAAACGAATATCTGTTCGTCCTGCGGATGTAAACATTTCAACTGTCCGTGTCATACGGGGACAAAAACCATCGATAGTCGAGAAAAAAGTACGAGAATCGCAAGTGAATGCCACCGGAACTTCAGCAACAACTCCAAATGATCAATCATCACGCTATTCTTATGTTGACCAACAGAGAGCTACATTATCGCAAATAAATCTCAACGATCCAAATGGCCGTCTGGTGAATCGTCTGTCCAATGACAGAACATCGATCAATGTAAATAAACGTCACAGCTAAAGGTGTATGCTTTCGCGTTCTCTTCTTGCAGACCAAATATGATCACGACACACCATTATATCATCGGTCATCATCGATTCCTTCTAGTAGTGCTCCGATAATACCTATGGAGGTCATTTTTATCATTACATTGTTTTGTATAACAAGATTGTTTCATTCAGGTGATCCGATTAAACAGAAACGATCTACAAGAGGCCGAACGTAAAAGAAAGAGACGTCGAAGGTTGCAGAATATGACCTTGCGATTCTATCTGAACAATATTTTATGGATTATTTAGAGGTGGATTCTTCCATACCACACCATGTTGTTGTTGCTGCTTAATAGCCACTGCAATTGCTGCAGTACTACTTTTAGCATTGGCCGCTGCCATTATTTTTATTGGTGAGAATGTATTCAAGGATGATATGTGATAAGACAGAAAAATTAAAATTTGCAATGCAGACTAGTTGCATAATCTGAACACTTTCCTTTTTTAGCTTTGCAGCCAAAACGTACTACAACAACAACGACGACGACGACGACAACAACGACAACAGACACAACTACAACAGCAACAACCACAACCGCAACAACTGGCGTCATCGAATGCACTACTTGTGAGTATCTCTATATCTCCTGAACAATTTATCCCATACGCATCTCAAGTTTTTTTGTGACAGGTTCTACAAATTACACATGGAATAATACGGATACGGAGATGAGTTGTACTAGCGTCTCCACGATTAAGGAGCCTAATAGTATAAACATTGGTCCTGATGGGTCAATTTATCTTGCTGGGCACACTATAGGACAAGTGCTGATGTGTGGAAATTCAACGAGTACTACTGCAGTAACAGCTCCGTATGGCGATCACATTGATTATATAACATTTGATAAGAATGGAACAATGTATACAAACGCTCATGATAAAAAATTGGTCCGTTGTTTTGCACCAGGCAATTCAACTGGTAAGATTGCTGTAGGAAGTGGTCTCACTTATCCGGTAGGCACTGCCGTCGACGACAATTTTAATCTCTACATCGGTGATCGAGACGCTAATCAAGTTGTGAAACTAGGCACCAACACATCAACCCTTTCCGTTGTCATTAATACTAGTAATTACTTGAGTAAAATGTCAGCACTTTTACTTTCATCGAACTATCCAAACGAAACTTATATAAGTGATGAAGGTGGTCTTAATGTTTATCTTTGGAAATTTGGTAACTCGGCTCCTAGCGAGATTTATACAACTGTTTGTGTTTCTAATTTCTCGTCAACACTGGATAAGCCTCGAGGTCTTAAACTAGATTCGTATGGAAATCTGTACGTTGCAGACCAAGACAACAGTCGAATAGTGGTATACTGTGGGAATTCAACGATCGGTTCTGTTGTCGTCAATACAAATGGTAAACCAAGAGATTTTGCATTTGATGCACAGATGAATATGTACGTTCTCAATGATGCTGGAAAAGTTTTAAAATACAATTTGATATGATCGATTTTTGAAACAAATAACACTTCTAAGTTTTTTTTTTCATTAAAAATCCATCGCTTTCTTCTGTATTATTTACTCTCTTACCATGGTTATTCGAATAAAAAAAACGTACCAGAAATAATAATTTTTTGTCAGTACTTCTCAGACATACTAGTTGTGCTTATATTTTCAACAACAAAAAATTATTAATCGAAACTCCTACACACGATGGTTATCGAGTGGGTAATGGAAAATTAGACATTTTGAGGAGGATGAAAGTAGTGTGACGAGTTATAGATCATTCGGAGGATTTTATAGCAATGTCGATGTCGATGCAAAGAACATGTGAAATTGTATAGCATTATGGTATCCTTTCCTTTATTATCTCCCATATGTCATCAAGATGATCACATGAGACCTAGTGCTTCTCTTAGCGTATATAAGTACTTCTTTCCGAATACTTCCCTTCATATATTTTCACGGTGGGGATACAAAAAAGAGACGATGCGCGAAGTTTTAATGAAGACCAACATGGCAACAGATCAGAATCATTTTTACATTCATGGATTTAAATATAATTGTGCAATTTCATTTGATGTCAACTCTCGTGAGTATAATCGGATTTCATCAAGACTTCCATAGAATTGTTTGTTTGGATATGACGATCCACAAGAGGTACCTCCGAGTGGATTTCCAAAGATAAGTGTGTCTGGGTAGCCACTAGCTGAATATGAAGTTGCCTTCGATGTATAAAGAGTTCCGTTTATATACAATCCCATTCCATTGCTTGATGAAAATGTATAAACAACATGAATCCAGACATTTATAGGCATAATTGGTCCACTGAGGACAAGATTAGAAGCACCATTGAAAATTTGTAGCTCAAGTGTTCCAGTAGCCGTTAATCCAATGAATCGAATGCACCACCCAGTTCCCGAAGTGCTCGCAGAAAGATGAGCAATGGTGCCGCCACCATCCAATGAATTCGTCTTGAACCAAACTGACAGTGAGAAGGGCCAATTTGAAGTGCCCAGTAGAACAAGACCTGTCACTTGAAAATATGATCCGGAGACGGAAAAATTCACTGCCTGATCAACAACGCCAGAGGCTATCGATGCAGCACCATTACCCCAACTTCCGTTGATTAGGTTAGGGCCGGAGTCAATCAATGGCGTAGAAGAACGAAAAGGAAAGTAAAAAACTAGTGTGGCATCATTTAGAATCTCGCTTGCATTTTTCATTCGGGAATTATATAACACTTGATCCATATACCCAACGAAAGGGTATTTATAGGAGTTGCCGTCAATCGTCGTGCGACAACCGAATACCACATTTGTCGAAGCTGTTTGAAGAGGCGCCATCACAACTTGAGTAGCTTCTAAAATACCATTACGGTACATGAATCTTTTCTTTGATGTGTCATCATAAACAAATGCCAGATGAGACCATGTATATGCAGAAATATTTGTAATACCACCAAGACTATTGTTCGAAAATGCAAACCACATCATATCATTCCTTGTCGTTAATATTAAACATTGTGTAGTAAGAGTCGTATTTCTGCATTGACTAATGAACGTACTATCATCCGCTGGCATTACTGTTGGATAAATCCAAAGCTCCCAAGTAAAACTTGCGTAACTCATATTCAAATACGGATAAACATTAACACATTTAGCAATATTGCCATCCAATGCGAGAGCTGTACCATAATCATTTATGCCAGTTACATACACTGCAGAACTCGAACTAGTACCAACAAATTGATTGCTGGTATCATTTAATGTGCCATCAAATGCCCATAGCACAGTTTTTACTACAAGTGAAAAAATCAGTATTGATTTCGGTATATATCGACTCTACCTATTTGACAATACGCGCCTGTCCAACCGTAGGAGCACGTGCATACGTTCGGAGCAGTACAAACTCCAGAGTTTTCGCACGGAATTGTACAGATAGGTATTTCACACTGTGTTCCATTCCTGAAGTGAAATTTATTCAAAGAAGTCAAGTTAAGATGTACACTAACCACTGTGGTGTGCAAATGCACAGACCAGTAAAAGAACAGGTACCATTATTTTGACAATTTAGCTCGCAAACCGGTTGTACAATTATCGATACGAATGACTGATTATAAAACACAACCGAAGAATTGGAATAGTACTGAACTACAAGTGAATTATTATTGAGAATGAATAATTGACACGTATTGTTTATTTGAAAATAATTCAAAGCAAGGATTGATCCACTTAATTTGGCCATTTCACAGATACATTGATTTTGAGTTGTATTTGATAGTAACTGAATGGAAATACTCATGAGAATGTGATTTTCTATTTTACCAATTTGGATTGAGTCAATTGTGAAGAACAAAGAGAACATCACAACAGTTCCAAACATGTTTGACACACTCCAAAGAAACTGTGTATGACAATTACCGAAAACCGTTTCAGAGCGGGGTTTTTCTTCTCACATTTGCTCGAGAATGAATATTTAATCACTACAAAACGACGTATATGCTGTTATATCCGTTGTGCTGATGTTTTAAAAAAGTGCCTTCTCATCGATAGTTGTGACAAACCAATGGCAACAGGAAAGTGAAATTTCATTTTGCTATTCGCACGAATGCATACTTCTTTAACACCCTCAGTTTTTAATAATCAAATTGCTGACGGTTAGCGTGTGTGACAAAGAACACTTTTGCTAATTATTTAGTCAAAGTATGTTGAAATGGGAGAAAAATATGTTTAACATACTATTTCAACTAAATCGTGGTTTCTTTCTGAACACGTAGAAACTTCCTACAAGAGTATTGAGGTAAACCTAACTATGATTGTTTATGCTTCTCTCATTCATCAATAGGATCACCAGATGATACTGAAGGAACCTTTCGAAGCTCTTGGTCAGCTTGTGTACTAAACATTGAGTTGCTATTGTTATTTTTGCGTGTTAATGTTGTCGATAACTCGTGAGCACATTTCATTTTCAGAAAATAAAAACAGCAGAGGAACGGATGAGAAGGAGAAGTTACTCACAGTCGTAACTAAGAAAAAAACCGGCCGTTCTTCGCATCAATTTGTAAATTACTTCGTGTATGAAGGCAAAGAAAATACAAAACTTTTTAAATACCATTTCTAATGTTTCCACACTTTGTATCGATAAAACGGCAAAATTTCTGTTCTCTCTGCTCTTGAAAATACATAAAAAAAATTTACATTCTGTATGTAAAATCTAATAGATTGATACCAAAATTTATTCAGTGGCTGTTGTACTTTGATTTTATCGGTCCCAACGCATCTTTCAGTTCTTCTTATGAACAGCTTATGGCAATAGATCAGTCAAACAGTTTTCCTTCGAGCAGGCCTTCATCGAGAGTAGAACCGTTCGAACCACATGAGAATGAATGAAAAATCTACGCGGACTACTGCATCAACACAAGGGTGAAGGATATGAATTCGAACGCTCTACAACCAAATTACAAAGGTGTGTTTGTCAATCAAGGAGATGCTGATGTAAAAGAAACTCAGATATAGATTTGTGATTTTAAATTACTGATAAACACCTGCTACATTTCTGTTTCAGCATTATCTTTTCTGACACCTACAAAGTCTATTTTTACAAAGTATAAAATCGGTATCAGAACAAATATGAAAACGTTTTTCTCCAAAAGAAAAAAGTAAAACATGACTATCATTATCTACACTTCCATCCTTCTTCTTTTGATCAGCACAATCGACGGGCAACGTAAGCAAATTTGCATTCAGCGTAGTTTGAACAGTTCGGATTGTTTTATTCAATAGAATCGACGTGTAAAGCCAACGAAACTTTCCGAAGCTGCGGTGCGAATTGTGTTGAGACATGCGACTTCAAACCTCATATGTGCATGGCTGTATGTAAATCCGGTTGTTTCTGTAATGCTGGATATGTTCGTCAATCATCAGCAGCTGACAGTCCATGTGTTAAACGTGAAACTTGCAAACAGAAAGAAGACACGTCGGTTTGCGGCGCCAATGAAGAATATCGAACGTGCGGATCAGCTTGTGTCGAAACATGTACTTTCAAGCCTCAAATATGTACTGAACAATGCGTTGCCGGTTGCTTTTGCAAGAATGGCCATGTTCGTCGTGATGGCAACAAAAAGAGCTCATGTGTTAAACGACAAGAATGTTAGAGATAAACTATCAATATCGTTCGATATTATGATAAAATAAATAAATAGAGGAAAGAGAAGAATGAAAAAGAGTGATGTAAAGAGAATCGTTGTCACGTGTGACGATCGATAAAACGAAAAAGTAAAGGACGCGATAAAGTACAAAATAAATATTTTTCAACAACGTGTTTTTATCTTTCACAAAGAATACTTGATAAACTTTCACTTGGGATTTCAAAAAATTCTCATTGACAGTCATCGATTATGACCGAAGACCTTCATAAACGCCAAGTGCATGATACAAACAATGAACCTGAAACTCCGCCATCACCCTCAAACGATCGAATATTCGCTCCACTCAATATTCCATGGTACCGTCGTTGTCAGACATTAACAATCGTGGTCTGGTGGTTATTACCATGGTTCTGTTTGTACTTAACGATATATTTTCTTTTCTATTGCAATTGGTATTCGACAACATTCATGATAGTCTATATCACATGGATGGTGAAATTTCGAACGTTTCCCAAGACAGGTGGACATCGGCAACAATGGTTTCGTCGATGTATTTGGTGGAAATGGTTTGTTGGTTTGTATCGAGTATTTACTTCGACGATTTCTTGATTCTAAACTTTCTCTTTCAGGCTATTTCCCAATACACTTACATAAAACTTGCGAATTACCATCCGATCGTTCGTACATCTTTGGTTATCATCCTCATGGAATCATTGCCTTGGGAGGATTCGGCAATTTTTGCACCGAAGCAACTGGTTTTGAAAGATTATTTCCTGGTATTAATGCTCGTTTTCTTGTGTTAAATTCCAATTTTCAAATACCATTCTACGATTTATTCTTAACAATGGTGGGTGCATGCGATGCATCGAAAGAATCGTGCAATTACATTCTCAAACAAAGCCATGGAAATAGTATTATATTGGTTCTCGGTGGTTCAAAAGAAGCACTAGATGCACATCCCTCATCGAAATATATGTTGACACTGAAAAATCGCAAAGGTTTTGTTAAAGTTGCATTGGCCAATGGTGCAAGTTTAGTTCCTGTGTTTTCATTTGGCGAAAACGATTTGTATGAACAAGTTTCGAATCCACGTGGATCAACATTACGATCGATACAAATGCATTTACAGAAGATAATGGGTTATTCGCTACCACTGTTCCATGGACGAGGTATTTTTCAATATAAAATCGGTCTGCTACCTATCCGTCATCCTGTTCATACATATGTTGGTGAACCGATTCCAATACCTAAAGTGTCATCAGAATTGATTACATCGAAACTGATTGATGAATATCATCAGAAATATATGGATGCATTAGAACAATTATTCGATAAATATAAGACGAAACATGGTGATATGAATTCCTCGATTGTGTTTGTCGATGATCCTAGCGTTTAAACAGATCCTCTACTTATATTCTGTGTGCTGTTAATAAAAGCAACATTAGGTTACATATGTTTCGTTTTATTTTTTCGATCAGGAGAAAATTCAACTGAGTTCATTGTTCGAACACGCTTTTCATTTTGATTACCAAAAGTATGTTTTGTCATGCAAGGGTATTGCGCAAACGCCAAGCGTAACAGGAATTGTTTTATCAGAAACAATTCCATACGTTTCGAATGTATGATCGTCATCCATCGGACCTGGATGAAGTCGGAGCCCATTTCCATGATATGTAACACCCAACCATTCGCAGATTAATAATCTCAGCTTAAAAACTTTATCGGATGGTTCGACTTCGAATACTTTGGTTACACCACTTAATGTTTTAACTGTTATTTTCATGTCGCTGGATGTAACAAGACAAAGAAAAGAAACGAGGAGATTTCATTTTGGATTTTTCTTTTTCTGCTTGTACGCGACAATGACGTATGATAAACATGATTACACGTCAGGCTATACGTTTGGGTGATGTAAGAAGATGCTCTTTCTTCCAACATTTGGTTGAGATCTTATTGCATACTAGTACGTAATACAACACTGTTAAGAATACGTAATTCTTCATCTGATTTAGCATAAGAACACACGCGTTGTGTATACATACGTACTTTTATGACGTATAAATCGGTTATATTCAGCCAAAAGATGGAAAATACTTTATGTTTCGACTGCATCAACTCAATTCGTTGCAATGGTATCCCACGCTTGACTTCTAGATATAACACGTCTACATTTCTGCCAACACAACTGATATATGTAATAATCGAATATAGAAGATAGAACCAAAATAGAAAGACGTTTTTTCTCATTTCTTATTACGCCTACCGGTAATTTCTCTCATATAAATAACAACGATCATACACAATCTCAAAACATGAAATTAACATACATTATTTCCGCTATTGTATTTACGAGTATTATTGTGCAAAGTATACGACCTACTATCTCAGTAAATCCAACAACTACTTTTCTAATTTTTAGATGTTCAAGCAATAGGATGGGCAATTGTTCCAGAAATCGCTTCTCTTGCTGTACCTATTCTCAAAGCTATACATGACAATGTGAAACATATGGGAAACTCGCACGCGACATACCTCGAATTTATCAATGATTCAAATGGCGGATTACAAATTGAAGTTTCTGAGGTCGATAATTATGACTGGGATGGTAAATCACGTCCAGATCGTACGTTTAATCGCGTTGTTATTCCACGTTATAAATCAGTCAAACGCCGACAAGAAATAAATGCAAAGAGTCGAAGTGCTATGAGTACGATGAAATTTCGTTTTCGAGGAAAACCAGCTTTTTCAATGCGTATTGATCAATGGGCAGCATTGTCGGATAAAGTACACGAAAAAGAGTTCAAACTTGAAAACGGATGGATCGCTCGCATGAAGGCTGGCATCAACAAAAATACTCTTCAATACAGATTTCGAAAAGGTTGAAAGACTATTTTACTTGTGTGTTGTAGAAGATAACGACCCGCATGTTTCATTTCTCTTTTGATTATTCAAGTGCTGAATAAATTGATCCATGGCAATCGTCTCGCCTTAACGGAATGAAAGCGAAGTCTGAGAAGATAAAATCTTGGAAAAAAGCCATCTGTTCATTAGGAACGCATACTTAGATATTACACTAACACAGTGATCGTTATATCCTTCTCATTCTCAAAAACGCGATGTGAGAAATTGCTGGATGATTCACCGATAATCCTCTACGAAAAAAAACACATTGTCCTCCATATGTTAGTTCTCCAACGCTTACGAATCGTTTGTACACGCACATATACAGCCGTATGTACTCATTCGCTTCCTTTCTATCTAACATTTATTCCGATAACACAATTTCCATTTTGACTCATATTGGCGGTTATTATTAAGTTTATTTTCAAGTTTATTAGTGTATGATTTCAATGACAATTTCACGCATAAATGAGAACATAGTGTCAAATGAGGAGGGTACTAATGAATAAATGAACAAGAATGAAAAATAAAATAAGAAAACAGAAGAATTTTGTGCGAAAACGTGTAGAAAAGAGAAGATAAATATACAACGTAAGCAAATGTGAAGATTATTGCTTTCCTTCAGTCTATAAACGGCTTTCAACTTCACTTTCATCGGCTTAGTATTTCAAAGCCGTGAATTTGTCGACCTGGTTAACCTGAGGGTGTGGGACTGGTGGTGGTGCTGGTCTCAGTGGTCGTGCTCGTATCCGTCGTGGTACTAGTATCGGTGGTTGTGGTGGTGTCGGTGGTTGTAGTGGAGTCGGTGGTGGTACTAGTATCGGTGGTGGTGCTCGTATCCGTCGTGGTACTAGTGTCCGTGGTGGTACTAGTATCGGTGGTTGTGGTGGTGTCGGTGGTGGTGCTCGTATCCGTGGTTGTAGTGGTGTCGGTGGTGGTACTAGTATCGGTGGTTGTGGTGGTGTCGGTGGTGGTGCTCGTATCCGTGGTTGTAGTGGTGTCGGTGGTTGTGGTGGTGTCG